AACTCATCAATCGAAATGGCGGTGGTAATCCCCCGCAATATGGGGAGTTTGTGCCCCATGAACCCAAGATCACAGAGGAAATCATGTTCAGAGGAAAGGGTTTCAGATCCCAGTTCAACGGCGCAACGAGTATCATGAGCATGATCTCCACGGTACAGTCCCAAGCCTGACGTCAACGTGATAGAAACTGACCACCACTAAGTATCACGAGCTACAAGCTTTTACGCGAGAGGCTTTGACCGTCGATCACTCCATCATGCGTGTCAAAACCGACTTCAAAGCCTTTCGCGATCAGAGGAAGAAGTCTGCGAAGAGGCAGGCCACTAGATGCTCTGACATCGACTCTGAAATACTCGCTATCCTTCCGGAGAAGAGCATAGTTGATACGCAGGCGGCTCTCTACTTCCAAACGTGGGAAACAAGTTATAGAATCCTGCACGGGCCGTCGTTCTGGGAGGATTATCGAGGTTACTGGGAATCATATCGGGACGGAAAGGGACCGGTGAGCTTCGCCGTCTTGCTCGTCTTGCTCGTCGCAGCCACGAAGTGCCTTAACCCGAAAGATGATGTGTTTGTTGGTGACACGACTGCCGACAGGCAAGCGGCTCACGAGCTTATTAATTTATGCGACAGCTGGATCGCTGATCAGCCGCGCAAGCGGGTTACTTTAGCTTTGTTCCAGCTACAGTGCCTGTCGTTACTCGCGAAGCGTGTCAATTGCGTGCGCCTGAAGCAAGACTGGGTCGCATCGGGTGACCTACTGCGACTCTCCCTTGCATCTGGTCTACACCGTGATCCCTCTCTGCTCGGACATGGTACGATGACAGCTTTCGATGAGCAAATGAGGAAGCGTCTGTGGATTACCGTCATGGAGCTGGAGCTCCAGTCGTCCGTTGAGAGTGGCATTCAATCTTCGCTCTCCGGACTATACTGGGACTCGCCTATCCCTGATAATCTTGGCGATGAATCCTTTTCGCCAGATATGCAGCACATGCCGGCGGTATGTAGAAACGAACCTCGGAAGAAAGCGTTCCCTGTGAGACTGACACCGTGCAGTCCGACGAGAACTTCACATCAGCTTCGTACCTCATCGCAACTACAAAGTCACTTCCACTCCGTATCCATTTGACGCAAGTGTTAAACACCCCTTCCAGTGCTCTCGATTACGACGACGTGCTGCACTACGATGCACGGATCCGCTCTGCATTGGCCGCACTACCCGTCTGGAACGATGATCGCGCACTCGTACCTTCCGCACTCCTCCAGTTGCAGTTGCGACAGTATCTCTTATTGGTGCACAAGGCCTACGCCAGACTAGCCTGCACAGACAATCGCTACTTATACTCGTTCACAACTTGTGTAGAAACGTGCAGCTCTTTGGTCACCACGCACGATCGCCTGCTATCAAGAGGCGTTCTAGCGCTGAACAACTTCCGCAACGACGTCATCAGAGCTGGTCTGACACTTTCGCAGATTGTCTACCACAACTGCACTCTTCGAAAAGTTAAATCGTCCCGTACCCCTGCAACTGATTCTACGAATCACAGTGCAGACCATCACACTCATTTTGCAGACCTGAGTAGGCCACAGCGCTTGGCAGCCTCCGATACATGTCTAGACCTGTATCTCACGGCACTACCGCAGGAGTCGTTCCTTGCAAGAACACTATGTATATCTTCGATGGACATCCTAGAGCGAACGAGACAGATATTTGAGATCAAGGTCTTCCGGCTTGGTACAGGATACATGGAATGCTGGCTGTAAGTTATGTGTCAACAATTCACAGCAAGAATTCGCTGATTTTGGTTCTCGTATGCACAGCATGTCTGCTGCAGTAGGCATGCTACCTCCTCCATCACCTGCTACATCCATAGCCTACATCAACAACATCCACGATGACGTACTTTCAAGATGTCACAAAACGCTCGACTGGTTTACCTCGTTGGCTTTCAGAGTACTAGCTCTACAACAAGATCCCCTGAGTCGCTTGGCGTCTTCCCTTCGCAGTACCATGAGTACTAGGGAAGAGATCGTCTCGACGTCAATGACCGCTGAGAGTGCGCCTACCACGTCACCAGATGGGGTTTGCGTAGAAGCCAACACAAGTAATAGTACGAAAGAAACGTATGGACCATTCGATCCACTACAGGACATACAGTCAGATATGAGCGGCTGGTCATTTCCTGACTTCTGGGCGTTTGACCTTGGCGGAGACTTCTGATCTTCATACATGCAATGACGTCAGATAGATACCGCAGCTATAACTACGTCTTCGCACATGTTAGCAGGTGTATATCATCAAAGACATTGCATCGCCCTAGCTCCTACTACTCCATGCTATTCCGGCGCCGTGACTCTTCGAAGTGTGCTTGTTTTCTACTCCACACATACTACAGTTGTTCTTTTTTTTCAAGGTTATGTAAAGTCTCTTCACAGGTTCTCCTATTAAGTCGTGCTTTTCGACAGTACTCTATTATCATCTTTAAGAGGTATGATGAGCATTTACCCAAGACGCTTACAATGCCATCTAGCATTGCCATTATTAAAGGAAGCTTTATAGTTGCATGTTAGAGAGCTTTGTTACGTCGTACTAACAACAACTAGTGCGGCGAGCGGGATAGAGCTGTATCTACCGAAAGGACACAAGCTTATTAAGGCGCACTACCGCGAAGATTTTGAAACATACAAAGATTCAAAACGCCTAGACAGACTTATGTAGGGTTATCAGAGCTTGCTTCGTTGTTTCCGTAGGCATTAGTTTCGCTGTAGAGCACATGGACTCAGCTCTCTACGCGTCACTGTGTTCGCAATGTGTTGGTTAAGACCCTTTCATTTGATTCACTCAATAGCGTCGCCCCAATAGTATATATACATAGCTTCCTCCCTCTTTCATAGGATACCCACATTGTACATCTCTTCTTGTTCTATACGATGCGTAGCTCTGTGCTGCGTCTAGTTTGACAATTTTTCTACGACTGGGGTTAATTAGCCCTTCTGGTTTCATCAAGCCACTAGGAAGGTAGTTCTTGTCCGGCAAGCGCAGACAATCAAGAACAAACAGTACATACGTAGACGGTGGAGGGCAGTCACTGCTACATGCGTTTAAACTACGCAAAGACTGTGAAGTCGAAGGGGACAGTTCTTGTTTCGAACTATGTCGGACTTTTTTAATGGTGTGCAGTTCCGTATCAGGACAAAATGACATGTAACAAGCTAAGCGTTCTGCACTACATCCTAGAGAATCTTATCTAATCCTGCCACGAAGGCACAGTAATCGGCTCGACATATATCATCTAAATGTGCGTTCTGGGTTCCTGTTTCGTCCAGAGCGTTCTCGTCTTGTCTAGATGCCCGCACGTCTTTGTAGTTGCAGATTTCTGTCTTGTGCCGGGCAGGTACCTGGAGGCGCCCAATGACTGCGCGTGTACTTCGAGCTTCTATCTTTTCTGTTTTCTCGCGCAGGACAAAGAAAGACCCTGACCGTTCGAACAGAAGATCTTCTATTTTCATCCCATTCGGCGGAGGTGTCGGCGGCCAAAGCACAATATTCGGCACATCTGAACGGTCAAATTTCTCGATCAGTATCTTGTATGGCAGCGGCTTTGAGGCTTGATTACCCTTCCGACCATGGCCGTATTTTCGCACAAGGTGCGGCACAAGATCATCACCTGGTAGACTTGCCGTCTTTTTCTGGCCTCGTTTTGAGATCAAGTCCTTGAATGACTTCATTTTTTTCGACGGTCTTGTAGGTAGTAGTACTGCAGGCTTGAACAAGAGAACTTCGGCGATGCAATTTAATACTGTTGGTGATGTGTTGCTGTTACAGAACAGTGTGATGCATTAGTGCATGCGCAACGTTAGCAAACACTTTGGAGCCTTCTCACAATGCTAGTCGTGAAATTGGAAGTAGCAGCGCTCCAAATTATACACTCGAACTTATTCTGGATTGAAGTTGAGTCCCAATCTTTTGCCACATGCAAGGATTCGCGGAAGCAAAAGACGTGGGTTGAATGAAGTGCATGCCGGTTTAGTCCAAGTGTTGGTCTTGGGACACTGTAAAGATGAGGTTTATTGCCATCACTCGCAAGACATGTACAAGACTACTGGCCCCAGACGTCCGCTTACAAAGTTTATCATCACTTCCAAATTACTTGTGTACGCCTGTTTCATTGTGCGCGTCCTTGAGACCCGTGCAATCGGTACAGTTGGAGCAACTATCGCCGTCAGTCTTTCCGTCTATCGCATTGCTTCATACGCAGAATGCGCCACTTACTTTGTGCAGTCGTTGCAATCTACACAATTGCTGCAGTCTTCACAGTTATCACATCCGGTACAGTTGTGGCAGCTGCTACTATCATTGCAGTCGGTGCAATTTCGACACCCCGTGCAGTCTATATTCTGGTTAGCAGATGCTCGAAGTCTGTCAAAACTTCCAAGAGTGGCGAGTGTACGAATGCAAAAGTAGCCTGACCTTTGCAATCCGTGCAGTTTCGGCCTGAATGTGAGGGGGAAAAGTCAGTGTTGTTCTTCTCGAGACATGGTTTCAAACCTACAATCCTCGCAACCTGTACAGTTGGTATTGTTACGGTTACCATTGTTTTCGTCGCTGGATACGCGAAGCGATGACTGACGACAGCCCATATTTAACGTACGTGATGGGCGAAACGACGATTGCGTGTGCAAGCAACAGGATTCCGAATGTGAATGCAGGCAAAGTGGACATGTATGTATCAGTTTTCATGGTAGGGAAAATGAGACGGCAAGAGTATGCAGCCACGACGTCATTTCTGACGCACCTGGAACAAGTGTTGGCGAGCCCGAACACAGGTATCGATCCGAACAAGGCAGGCTAGAAGTGCATAATCATGATAGACACATGTAAGCTTGGCGGAACTTGGACTAGACGCCTGCGTCCATCTTCCAACAAGTCTTTCTACTCAAGAAATCACAGTCGATATAGTGTATAGCTGCTGTGGATTGTATATAAGAAAAAACAATATTTAGCTAACGTTGCTGCTGTAACCTAGAACTTCTACAGCTACATTAAGAGTGGTGCTAACCAACCACAACGCGACTAGACTCCACCCAATTCTCTTGTCCATTCGCCACTTGCGCAAAGGCACTGCAAGGAGAAGTCCAGCTAGCGTCACGAGCAGAGTGCCTCCGGAAATGACCAAGGTGGTACTCACGGCAATGTGGTAAGGTCTGAAATGAACCGACTGGTCTGGGTGCTTCTCATGGCGGTGCTCGCCCTTGGTGATGATCATGTAACATCCACTGAGGCCTACGCCGAGCAGGATATTAAGCATTGGGCCACCGAAGCAGGCTGAAAGTGCCATGATAGGAAACCCGAGCCGCGCAACGGTGATGTCGGCGACAAGATCACCAAGCGAATTGCCAACTGCGAAGATGGTCAAGCCGAGAATCGCGTCGGACATGTTGAGAATAACGCCCAAGGTACGCAAAACACCGACAACTTCGTTGGCAATAGTGCTAATCCATGCAATGGCAACGGCAAATCCAAGAAAGCACAACGCGGGCCGCCAATTGGGTGCTTGGTTCGAGGCAGTGGTCAAGAGGAGGAAGACAAGAAGGCAGAGTGAGACAAGCATGCTGTAAAGCGAGTGGCGAAGCAACACAACTGGGTTGTCGGGTTCAACATTTACCCAGACGACTAGTACCAAGAAAAAGGGCGCCGTAAAGATCTGGACGATCACCAGCCAGCGGTTCCATTGCGCTGGCCCGATGGATGTTGAGGTTGCCGGGAGCTGCTCGGGCGATTGCGCTACGTTGTCGGAACTTGTTATGTACACTTGCGGTGGTTGGCTGGTGGTGGTGCTGAAGGATCCACCGTCCAGCTGTCGAGGAAGGCTCGTAGATGATTTCGAGTTCGACAGGCCCGAAATGGTGGGGTCGTCTCGTGGCAAGACAAGGGATACACTGGGAGTTTGCGATCTTATGCTTGCATCACCGGGTGTAGCTGCGTGTGGCATACCGAGATCCAGGGAAAGCTGGGCATGGCCTCCGTCGTTCTCGTCTTTTTGCGGCTCGACCACCGGAAGCGTTATAGTAAGCAGGAATACAGGCAGACTTGCGACTAGCCCCAAAAGCTTATCGAAAACGTTCTTGTCACGCCAGTTGGTCAAAGTGGGAAAGAGGGTAGCAACCAGACTATGCGGGGTCGGTAGGAGTGCCGAGGGCCACCACGTGGGAACTTTTGTTGGTTCGAGCTGCCCAAAGGAATCTCGTGGGAAGTAGGTAGATTCGAGTGACACACTTGGCGAAGGCGGACGTAGACTCTGAGGTCTGGAAGTGGACTGTGCTGACCAAGGGTAATCGGTGTAAGGCGGGAATGGTATGGGTGGGGAAGTCGCATCTGGTACGGCCAGCTTCAGACTAGGCTGTTCGCGGCTATGGCCGGAGTTTGATGCCGGGCTTGATCGTAGATTCGGCGAAGGCAGGACTACACGAAGGGGCGCTCCATCCTCGGCACCTGGAGGCGCCAAATTGTTGGGTGAAAGCAGCCTATCTCTCGGTGCCGTAGGACTCGGGGCTCTAGAAGAGCGGGAGACTGGCGAAGATAACGAGATAGTTGGTGAGGGCGGCGCTTCCAACAATCCGTTGCGCTCGCTGGGAGTGGCAGACGCAAATGTTATGTCAGGCACGCATTGTCCTTGCAGGGTGCTTGGCTGTAGTTGAACATTGTCAATGTCATTGGTGGAGACAGCTCGCGCTCGGTTGCCTAGACTCTGCTGGATCTCGAGATTCGGTCGGCTCAGGTGGGGTGAGGTGGAGATGTTGGAGGCGGAAGAAGGCAGGTCAAATGGAGGCCGAGTCGCTGGACCTGTAGCCTGTCCGATGTAGGATTGCTGCTGGGCAGTAGTGTAGGTAGGGTCGTCGGAATACCGTCGCAGGCTGATTGGCATAGACTGGATGTTGCGCGACTTTTGCAGCGAGGAAAGTACGGCTCGGAACTCCAAAGCTCCTACTAAACTGGGTCGGATCGGGGTATGGGTGTTGCGCCGCGACACGCTTGGGCGGTTGACGCGCATATTGTTGGTCAACTCGCCCATCCAGCGCTCACGTTCTTCCTCGTTGTCATCGTCATGTATCGTATTGTCGCCTCCTGCGCGTTCGAGCATGGAAAAGTCGTCAGCGGAGGCGCCGTACGCAGGGGCCGCAGAAGCAGCGCTGATTTCGTCGTCGTGGTACTCTGGAAACTCCTCCTCTTCACCGCCGGGTGTTACGTAGTGGCTCCTAACAGCGGCTGCTCGCGCGCGTCGGGCTTTCCGTAGGTTGAGCCACCAGTGCCAGGCCACAACAAAGGCGACGTAGAAGATGTAGAAGGCCACCATGCTAACGGACTCCCACAGGTGGAGTTTGCCGTCGACAATGAAGCCCATGCTAAAGGCAGCAGCAACAAGAAAGAAGCCGACGTCACGGACAAAGCTTTTGCGCGCAACCTGAAAGGGGCGGATCAGGGCCATGGAGCCCGAGACGACAGCGGTGATGAAGCAGGCAGCACCGATAAGCTCGCCGACAGCCAGACTGGCAGCGTGGGTGCGGAAGGCGGCAAAGGTGGAGAAGACATCGGGGCTGCCGTTGCCAAAGGCGAGCAGGGTCACGCCGGCCAGGCTCTCGCTCATGCCCAGCATGCGCGCTATGGTGTTGAGGTTGATGCAGAAGAAGTCGCTTGCGGCAATGCCAATGGTGCTGAAGAGGAGGGCGAGCCAGAGCGTCAGCAGGACAAAAGCGACGGGCTTCGCGTGCGGGAGGCGGCAGTAGTAGAGGGCGAGGTAGGACATGACGCCAGCCTCCTCATCGGGGCAGTTTGCGCGCACAAAGTCGCATTGGTCCAGCGCATGGTGGACGAGGCGACACTCGGCGTCCTTGGTCGAGACGGCCCCCCTCGTGTGCAGAGCACGCCCGGCTGGGGCTTGCGACCGGGCCCATGCCAGCAGCGAAATGAGGGATATGGCGAGGATGGTGAGGGCGAAGGGGCGCGCCGAGTAGCGGGGGCGGCGCAACCGCTGGGCGTGGGCGAGGATGGTCAGGTCGTCCATGGCCGAGGCATGTTGGTTGACGAGTCGAGGAGAAGACGGGTTTTAGACGGTGCGAGGCGTGAAGGCACAGCGGGCGACGAGCCAGCGGAGGGCGGTGCGTGAAGCGTTTGGGCTAGCTAGTCCGGGGAAATGCCGCCACTGCGCTAGCGCGTGGCGGTGCTGCCGCTGCCTGTCTGGTGATAGCGGCGGGGCAATTGTGGCGCCCAAACAAACAACAGCAACATGGCATCGACGCCAGAACGGCTGTTGCAGCACCACACCCATCGCCCAACATGGCGCGCTCCACCAAGTATACCACGGCCGCCTCGCCCCAGAAGACGCCTGTCAGGTAGGCCCCAACGCTCCGCGCGGGCGCATTGCTAGGCTAACCCGTCGCCCGCAGAGTGCCGCTCAACGACGACCGCCAGGAAAAGGCCGCCCGCCGCCATGCGCACCAACAGGCCCAGCGCGACTCGATGCGCGCCTCGACTACGACTGCGACTCCCGGACGCCGCCGCGTGTCGCTTGCCGCCGCCCACGACACGCCACGCACCCCGTCGCAAGATGGCGACGACATGCCCGATGTTACTGGCACGGCTGTTACACCGGGCACCCACATTATGCCCCTGCTGGCCAACTTCGAGGAATGGATGAAGATGGCGACGGACAACGTAGGCATGCGCACGCCCGTCGTCGCTGCTCCAAGCTAACGCCCCGCTCAGAAAATCAACGCGAACAACTCGTGGAACTTCGCCCTCATCGACTACTTCCACGAAATGTCCCTGCTCAAAGAGGGCGACGGCGTCAACTTCCAGAAGGCTAGCTGCACGCTAGACGGCTGCGTCAAGATCTACACCAGCAGAGTCGACAGCGTTGCGACCGACACGGGCAAGCTGCTCAGCGGACTCGCCGAGAATGTGGGCAAGAAGCGGAGAGGACACGGCGACGATGCTGATGGGAGCGACGAGGATGAGGGCGACGGCGAGGAGGCTGAAGCCGGAGAGCATGGCCAGAAGAAGCGCAAGAAGAGGGCTGCTCGCTCTGCAGAAGCCACGCTCGCGTCGTCCTTTGCCCAACTGCAGAACAAGAAGATGGAGCTCGAGTTCTCGGTTGATCCGCTCTTCAAAAAAGCCTCGGCCGACTTTGACGAGGGCGGGGCCAAAGGACTCCTTCTTAACCACCTGGCTATAGACGGGAGCGGCAGGATTGTCTTCGACAGCAGCGATGACGCCAACGATGCCGCCACCCAAGATTCACTCCCCACTCATGACCATCAACTGGCCCCTGACGCCATCGATGTTGATATATCCGGCCTGACTGCCAAGTACTTCCACGATCTTTCCCAGCTCGACCGGCAAGACGTGTGTCCGTCGATGAAGACGTTCGATCTCGGCGATGTGAATGGCTCTATGGACCTTCCCTTCCTCAAGGCTGCTGACAACTCCTCCGGTGAAGACGGAGCCAAGCACGGAGACGACAACGCAGGCAGCCAATCAGGTCTTTTTCTCGGCGACGATAACCCCATGGAATTCGACGACGACCATAACCTGAATATGGGCGGGTTTGATCTGCCTCCAGAGACGGGCTTTGGCGAAGGCGGGGAGATCTGGGCTCGTGAGGCTATCCAGCATCCACAAGCTCGCATCCACACCATGGACCTGAATGGCGACGAGAACACAGACAGTGCCGACGCTCAGTATGGCGTGTCCATGATGCACGGCCGCGACCAAGAACAAGAGAACATCCTTAGCTATTTTGACCAAGCTCTTAAGAAGAGCTGGGCAGGGCCTGAGCACTGGCGCATCTCACGCGTCAAGCATTCCGCAAAGACAGCACCGGCGACGAAACGGAAGGAAAGGGAGCCATTCGAGATCGACTTCATAGCTCCAATGACACAGACACTAGCAGATGTGCTCTACACGCCTGCGACATCCAACTCCGCGATATCTCTACCCAAAGCACAATGGAAGTCCAGGTCGCGCAACCTTCTCCCAGACGACAAGCACTTTAACTCCAAACAGCTGCTGCGTCTTTTCCTTAAACCCAAGGCGCGTATGGGCTCACGCAAGGGAGGACGCCGTGCACATGCACTCCCTGGAGATTCAGCACGCGTGGACGAAGCATACTGGGCTGATCAGGGTCAAGAAGGCGACAGTGACGATGCACAGGGAAACTACGACGCCGACTTTTTCCAGGATGATGGTCTCCAGATACCTAGTGGCCCTCTCGACGATGACGATGTGTTTGCAGATGCGCGCGATCACTTCTCGCCGCCGCCTGACGCACCTGAAGCTACACTACCACTCGACGGCATGCAACCGGGTTCGCAGACCGACGCATTCGGTGCTCAGCTAGTGACGCAAAGCCGACGATTTCGGCCTGAATACGTCCAGTACGCAAGGGTCGCAAAGAAGGTGGACGTGAAAAGACTAAAGGACGAACTCTGGAGGGGTATCGGGTTCGATGGCGTAAGTTGTATCTAGCCGTCTTCATCTGACTCGCAAGCTCACAACCATCAGATTTCTGCGCCTCCTCAGCCCAATGTTGCCGACGATCCAGCAAACAAGGCCGTGGATGGTTCGTTGACCTTTACCGACGTTGTCAACAGCCTACAGGCCGTCTACCCAAAACAAACCCTGGCTGATATCTCCACGAGCTACTGCTTTATTTGTTTGTTGCATCTGGCCAACGAACAAGGCCTGGTCATTGAGAATCAGGAAACCTTCGAAAATTTGACGATTCGGAAAGACTTCACGGCGGACTTGGACGTTGGAGGATCGTGAGGAGATTTTGGATAGCTTGCATGAATTGTGTAATAATACAAAGAAAAAGGGAACTATTCTGCCCACAAATCCTTTCCATCACTGGTGTCGCAACTTACCTTTTCTTGTTGGAAACCCGACGTTGCGCCGTAGTTGTGGCTGTATTAGCCTTCGACGCGGGTTCCTTAGCGGCCTTGCTCCGAGGTGGCACCCGACGTTCCGTCACAGCTTTAGCCTTCTTCTGGATACGCTCCACGGGTTCCTCGTCCGCCTTCCTCTTGTGCGCTTTCATAGCGTTGGCCGCCTTTTTTACCGCTGCTCTTGCCCTATCGGCGGCTTTCTTTAACGCTTTCTGAAGTCGGATCGCGTGAGGCACCGTCTTGGTTTCCCGACAGCGAAGGTCATCGGGGGGTGCTTAGGATCCCCACCATTGTTAAGGAATTCCACCCACTCGAGGAGCTTGTCCCTCGCGTCGATCAAGTTTCGCAACCGCTCTGGGCAGGTATCCGGACAGCTCCGGTGGCCCAGGCAAGGATGACCAAAACCAGGTGTGCCTGGGGTGTCGCCACATTCACATCGCTCTTTGCCCTCACAATCCTGCCTAGCCAGATTGTCGCAATGAAGCTCGATGACCAAGTGTGAGGGGCGGACGCAGTGGCTGTGACCACATAAATGGGATACATCCCATCTCAGGTAGCCGGCGCGAGCGTGTTTCGTGGTACAATATGGCAAGTAATCCCCATACCCGGCTAAAATCATCGCAAGCGCAGGGCAGGATACGAGTACGGCTTCGATCATTTCACCCTTTTCGGGATGAGTGTACTAGTAGAAACGCAAACTTAGTATGTTTTCAAGCATAGATGCAACGGGTGTGTAGTACTTACCTCAACCTTCGGAACCTTGTGCCTGAGGACAGTATTTGCCTGTAATCCGAACGGAAACCCGTCGCAAGCCGTTCCACCCTGAACCCAACATCCGCCATCTATCTCGCGGACGAGTTCGAAGAACAAGTCCCAAATTACCTCCAGGATCCATTCGCCCGTCTCGCTGTCCATAGCAAACTGCTTCATAGCCGCGATCTGTGCGGAGTCTTCTTCTGGCAGCTCCGGGAGGTGGTGTTTATACGTCTCAAGATCGATCCTCGGTCGTTGTCGGAGGATGAACTCTTCCTTGAGGCGGTCAATCCTCTCGGATTGCCCATGAAAGGTAATGTCGTTAAGCTCAGACAACGTTAACAGTCTTTGCAGATATGGGTGCTTCTGCTCCACCCGCCGTGATACCGAGTATGCGAGGTCCTTGACATTCTCAAGCACATCATCAGGTGAGATCCCTAATTTGAGCAGGGGAGGGGTGGTTGGGGTGTAAAGGTTGGGATCTTTGGAGCCAGCGGGCAAATGCCGGTCCTTGATGTTCCCTTTGGGGCCTGTACGCTTGCGAGGGAGCTCGGGGGAAGTCACGATGCCGGGCATGGTTGGCTTGTTTGGCAATGAGATTGAAGTTGGAGTGATGTAGTGATGTAGTGATGTAGTGATGTAGTGATGTAGTGATGATACAAGAAAATATGAATCAAGAGAGAACTGGCTTTCATGGCCCGTACGTCGCCGGATACGCCTTATATATCATGGCTGCTTACACAACGCATCACACCGCCATGCTAATATCGACCCTTCAGGAACTTACCGTGCGTCGGACTGTGATAGCCAAGCCACACAGGTTCCAGCACTGCAGCATTGGCAGGGGACGGGATGTTCTCGGCTAGCAAGTCTCTCCTGAAGCTATCCGTGCTCGGGCTACTGCCTGGAGGCAACATGCAATTGGCTTCAACATTCAGTAAGGGATTGCCTTCGGTGCGGGTGCGAACGATATTGATTCTAATGCAGAGTAGATCAACAACAAGGTAACAATACATGCGGTGTTTCAGACATATCAGTGGCGTGCGTGCCTGCCTCCACTACTCCACTATCTCTGCATAGTCGCACTTGTCAGGCCGGTGGCCATCTCGCTTCAACTGCCGCTCCACCTCCTTCAAACGCTCCGGGCAGAACTCAGGACATTCCTCGTGGCCGAAGCATTTCTGGCCGCGTCCGCGTGCATGGGTACAGCCATGGCCAGAGCATCGCTATCGTCGCAAGTTGACTTGATGTGAGTCGAGCACCAGGTGGGACGGCCGATAACAATGCGAGTGACCGCAAAGATGTGACACTTCGAACTGCTGGGGCACATCTCCCACTATCGTCGTGAACTTGAGCGCCCACCTGAAGCCCATGACATTCATAGCAAGGTGGGTGTATGCTACCTCGCCTTTCAGCTTCTCGTTGAGACATTTGCGATCGACGTGGTATACGCGGTACGCGTTGGCAGCACTCCCGAACGGGCGTTCCAAAGTCGGCGTTCCTTTCGCAACCCAACACCCTTTAGGACCCACAACTTCAGTATCTCGCGTAAGCACTTCCCAGCACTCTGGGTCTCTAATGCGCCTCGAGATCCTGAACCTTGGCGAGCCGAGTCGGTACTTGTGCTTGGTCACCAGGCCCTGGTATCGCTTCTGATTCTTTTGCTTTTGTGGCGCTATGATTCGCTCCTCCAGCAATCGGTTGGGCATGACGGTGGCCTTTCGTGGAATACGGACATGGAGCATGCGCTGTACATGGAGTGCAGGGGTGTTGTGGACTATTGGCACGTTGTCTACGGCGGGAGAATGCACCTGTGGTACATCGCGTCGGCTACCATGACTTTGGGCTGAATCGTTGACAGGTTGAGAAGCCAAGCTGTGTCGTGCATGGCTGTTTGGGATTGGACTTGATCCAGATCCAGATCCGGATCTGGTGGTTGGTGCCATTGTCTGCAGGCAAACCTTGAAATATTGATTGAAAGTAAGAGACGTAAATGGAAAGGCAATGAGAGCCTGCCTTTGCTGTATACTGTTGGCATCAGGATATATACGCAAAGTCAACTCTCCAAATATCATATGGCTGGAGGAGAGGGTACGAGAAGACAGGTATCATCAGCATTTCAGAACTGGTTGCGAGTTGTAGCATGATGCATGGTAACTCAAGACCGCGATGACTTTGGCGCCGCCGAATGAGATGTTCGAAAGCGAGATGCACTCGGGATGGGGCGCTGTGGAGCATCTCGAGACGCAGTTCACGAGAAGACTGATAGCCAGCGGGCAACGCACTGGGAGTTGGTGACCCACCAGCTCGTGGGCAGCCTTGGAAATTACCACTACGATCGGCTGCTGGCTCTTCTCGTTTGTCCGGCACCAGTCGCCGTCCTTCTCTGTCTACATGGCCTGATGTGGCACAGGCGTGGTATTGCAGCACCTGCAAGCGACAGATCGTGTTCGGCGACAGTGACAATGTTCCGTCGCTAATCCTTGCACGCCCGACAAGACAATCGTCTCACCATGTCTCGTCGAGGCTGATACTCCAGGTCGCAAATATCTTACCACCTGGGCAAGCTGGAATGCGCTCACTACCGCTTTGGCTGCGCGTGGAATCCATGGGTGTAGTTGAGCTCCAGATCAGCAGTGTCAAGACAGTCAAGTGGCTTCTTTCCTCGCTCGATGGAGTTGGCATTCCTAAACGCGCACCGCACCGTCGAGTTCATCTCCGCGTCTCCAAATTGCTGACGCCCAAACCGTTAGCGCTTCGCGTGGAGGCCGAGGTTCTTGCGCGCCAAGTCATGGCACGTTCCGCAGCCTGCAGGTAGGCCGCAGATCCTCCTGCACCGTTGAACGGAACTAACAGCTGGCCGGGAAGTGAAACCTACGCTATGCTCGAACCCGCAGCCGTTTGTTCAACTCGGCGCATAATCGGCTAGGCTGGCGTCCTACTCGAGCCTCGCAATACTTATCCGTGGTGAGTGACGAGACGTCATAAGAGGTGCCGTTCATCCGTGTGGGCCTGGCACTCGTTTTTGGCCACTGTCAGTACAGTTCCCCCCTCTGGTTCGGGTGCCTAGCGTCTATGGGGTGTACGGATCTTACAAAGATAGTCCGAACAACACCAGGCACCCTGACTTGGGGGGGGACTGTACGCAGCTGTCAAACTCATAGGGGTAAAGGCAGAGCAGCCCGTGCGACCCCTGCCTGATAGGACGTGCGAAAGTGCAAATGAAGGATGAGTACATAGGAGTACATTGCACAACTGGAAGCTTGCATGTAGTGACATGACGCATCGCGCGATATGTCAGCATGGTAATTTCCTTGCTCGCGAAAGCGGAGCGAGCGTGCACCGTGTTTCTGCTTTGGCGCGCAATGGTGCCACCAGGCGCCCAGGCGATGACATAGGCCCTCCTCACGTGAGTCAAGCACTACGGACCAAAAGCCCTAAACAGAAACCCGGAGGTGACATGATATCGGACCCATCGAGCCAGTCACATCTTGGACATTGAATCCACAGCTTGAGTGATCTTCTGGTAGGACGGGTCGATGTCGAGGAGGCTCTCGACGACGCGAGTGCACTTTGCTCGGCGGGCTACCTCAACCATCGACGTGACCACCCCTTCCCGCCCTGTGTCTGAAGTGGCCTCGCTTGAAAGAACCGGGCGCGTGCTGCCTTGCGAATGCCTTGATAACACGACATTGCCGCGTCTGAACAGGCAGTCTCGCTGATTTTGGCTTGCGAAGACTGGAACAAAGAAACAATGGAGACACTCAGGCACAGTGGCAGTAGATGCTGGTGTTCATTGGAGACGAGCGTGAAATTAACAAGGCGAGACGCTGCTATTCAGCAAACAAGCAAACAAATCGATCGGCTGCACGTGTGGAGACGCACATATTCATCATCCATCAATCGCATGCGTGGGTAACTTCGGCACAATTCCCAGCATATTATTCAGTAAGAAATGCACTGCGGGGTCGGAGTTGTGTGTCGACGCCAGGAGCCAAATGAGATGAGCTCATCATCAAAATACTACCGTTTGGTAAAGTTGCGCAGACCACGTCCTCGAGGACAAAGGCCAATGTCAGAATATGCAGGTAGTTCGGGGCTCAGATATGTCGTGTCATGAGGAAAGCCATGAGCCTACTATCAAGATAGACGCGGTTGCCTCTGGCTGAGAACACCACTAGTACATAGCCAGACAATGTCATAGCCCGTTTTCATGGCAAAGATATCTTGAAGACCTCCATACCCCCTGATGATAACAAAACTCATCCCAACTGGCCCTCAGCGATCGACACGAACACGCCTTCTATTTCACCCATCTTGAGTGTCGCAAAGGGATTCGAATCGCTTGACCTGCGCTTGACTCCCGCAACGACGTTCTTCGCGACAAGCCCAGACGGTGGAGTAACCGCCCGGGGTCGGTAAGAACTGCCATTCTTCATGAAGTCGGCATGTTCGATGGCTGCCGCCTCTTCCGCTGTCATCTGCTCGCCGGCAACGTCCTCGTCTCCAGCTTCGTCTGGAATAAGGACAGGCTTCCGTGCGTCGTACATTTCGCCGTCTGGGGTGTGTAACAGAAACTTGGTCTGCTTGGCTTTCCCTTCTTCGAGACGCTTGTGCAATTCATCGACCCGCTGTCTTTCAGCCTTCCTCTCCGTCTTCGTTTTGGGGTTTTCGATTCTCTTGCCCTTTGCCACTACGCTTTTCACTGTCCTGACCCTCTGCCGGGGCTGCCAGTCATGCGAGTCCTTGGCCTTCAGCGCTTGATAGTCGGCCTTGACGTCGTCGGGTATCTTGACCTTCCGCTGCTCGAGCAAACCCCAGAGGCGCTCGAGCATCTGGCGCGTTGCGGGCAACTCATCACGTAGTTCCTTGAGAGCATCTTCTTGAACAGATTGTGTCTGTCTGTCGACGCGGTTCTTACGAATCTCATTGCGGGCTTGTTGAAGGTCGCGCCGAAGAAAGGCGTTGATGCGACAGACGCGGTATCCTTCCGATGCGACCTCGGCTGCGTCTGCGCCACCTTGGAGACAATTTCTGATTCGCGCGATGTCGCTATTTTCTTCGAGTGCTAGCTGTGTGCCCTTCGTTTTTGATGGCCGATTCGCAGTGGCGGGGTCTTGCGGGATGGCCATGTTCGTAGGTAAGAGAGGGTTCGATTTGTAGTCGAATATATTCAGGTACGCAAATGTGTTCAGCCAACGTGCAATTGTGATTGTGGGGACATTAGATCTGGAATAGAAATTCGAAAAGTATGGAGCAATCGTTGCTTCCTTTGACCAAGATAACAAGCGCGTGCGGACTATAGTAAAGGAAGCGGGACAATTCCACGGTCACCGCGACCTTCCGCCGGTCTTTCACTTTGACGTCATGACGGCTGTATCGCCAAAACAGCAGCACCAGGCAGCAGCGAACATTTTTACGTACACCGCAACAGGTCGCCTGAGGAGGGTACAGGCCATATCTACGGAACAATACAGCGTTCAACATAAGTTCGTCGAGCACAACACCGCCAGGCCAAGCGCCTGCATCCATCACCCCATCCGCTAATGCAGGAACCAAGAATTATGCCGGTGCTT